CTTTTCATGAGTGTTAAACATTAGAAGAATTTTAGTTAGTGTTATGCAGGTTGAAATTTGGATTTTGAACTGATCCACTGTTCTTGGCTGCTTCTCTAGGTCCTTGAGTATCGTGGGGAAAAGGTGCGGCGTAGTGTTGCTGATCTAAGAGAGGCACGATATCGACTAGAGGGAAAAGATTGTTATGTGAGTCTATTTCATTACTTCATGTGTGGGGTTATGTCATGTGTACATGTGCCTAAACTATGTGTTGTCTTGTCTTGAACATGTGAATACTAGTCTGATTGATCTACTACACTATTTTTAGATTATGCTTAAGATTTTAGAGGGTATTATTTGTAAGTCAGGAAACTCCCATCTCAGGATACTAAACAAAGCTTTCAATCATTCACTACACAGTGGTCCGGTAATATTCCTTTTTAACACTGTGTGGAATCATTAGTTTAACTTTAAAAAAAAGTTTACTAATGATATCGTATTGCCCCTGGTATCCTATCATCTGTACTCCAGTCAATGGATAAGGGTAAGGATGACTCAGAAATTGTCGAGCCCATAACATTAACGATTTCTTAGCTAAGATTGTTGCTTCTTAAGATGAGCTGTCTCACTTTCAGCAATTGATGCTAACACATGTTCTATCCATGCAGCTGTTTAAGGTAAGCGAAGAAGTGGTAATTGATGCGACAAATAAAGGGAATATTGCACGCTTAATCAATCATTCGGTAGGCTGTTTTCTTCATTGTGAAACCTCTGTTTGAGTTTATTATGCTGTCTGGGCCTTTTTGGTTTCTTATTTTTTTACCATACAAGTTTTGCTGACGTGTTATTCAAATTTGGATTATGTACTTGTTTATGTGGTTAAAGCTTTTTCTTTTTGCATCTCATTCAGTGCATGCCCAGTTGCTATGCGAGGATCTTGAGTCTGGGTGAAGAGGAGAGCCGGATAGTTCTTATAGCTAAACGCAATGTCTCTGCTGGTGATGAGTTAACGTATGCACAGCTTTTTGTTCTCTTCTGTGAATCATGTATTTGTTCATTCAGTTTGTGATTGTCTTTTCCAATCTGTTAATTAGTGTATCTTGTTTAACAGGTATGATTATTTGTTTGATCCTGATGAGCATGATGATGTTAAAGTGCCCTGCCTATGTGGAGCTCCCAATTGCCGGAAGTTCATGAACTAGTGTAGCTGATGTACAAGATTTGTCGTACAGCGACAGGCTAACAGTGCATACATGATACAACAAAATATATCTTCTCTTCTTCTTTTGGTTCTGTTTTGTAATAGCAGTCTTTCACAGCCCAATTGAATTTTAATCTCCAAATAATGTTTATACACCAGCTATTTAGCTGGCCTTTTACATCCCCCCTCCATGTTATGAGCATCAACAAAGGTAAAAAGAAAAAAATGCTGAATTTTGCAGCGTGTATTGGATTTATTTAGCAAAAGAGGGCTAAAGTCCCATTGCATATTTTTTTTAATCTGTAGCTTGATTAATTATTGGCATGTTATGTTCATTCCGATACATTAGTTTTGTTGTAGTAATTCATATCAAATTTCAAAGAGTAAGAGGTAGAATGTAATTAAAAAATTTGAGTATTATGATTAGAATGGTTTGAACTTGCAAAAAAATAGAGTAAGATGTGGATGATATGAACAGAACAATTAGATGAAAATAAAATATTATAAAAAGAAAATCCCTTGGAGGTAATGATATTTACAGCAAAACAAGGTTTATTGTTTAGGCTTGGGAATGATATTTACAGCAAAACAAGGCTTATTATTAAAGCTTCTGTAGTGCCAGAGGCTGAGTAAATCTCCTTTATGTAGTTGGTTATTTTCGACAAGTTTATTCCATCCTCTGTTAAACACAAGTCTCTTCAAGCTCTTCCATTCAGTAAACTTCATGTTATGTAAATCACCTTTTGGATCCATTACGCTAATGTCAATGCCTTTATCATCATCACTTTGTATCTTTTCTCTCTCCGACTCAGTCATGTGTTGGAGCAAGTTTGTGGCGCACTCAGCTGGAATAAGGAATCGGCTCAAGCTCGAGTTGGTGTCCGAATTCTCCAAGTATTTCCGGCCCATGTGAACCGGTTCACTCCCTCGGACAGACTCAATATTCAAACGCAAGCTTGGTGGAAGCAAATCTGGCATATTCATAACTCTATCGTCGCGCTGCTGCACGTTATTATTGTTCAATGGCGAAAACTGTACTCCAAATAACCTCAAGACTGTGATGTTATTGCCAAATAGTCTTATTGTAGTCATCATGCTGAAATTGATGTTGTATGCTTTGCATCTTATTATTTACTACTACTATTTATAGAAGAGTTAATAAGCACAAATCTTACTTGAGTTTGGATTCGGAAAGTTTATGTTAAATTCTTACTTTTTTTAATAATTCGGTGAGCGTTTCGAATCCTAGTTATAGTTATAGTTAAACTGTACATTCCATTAACAGACTAATTGAATTGTCCTAATTCAACTCAAAAAGGAAATACACATGAAAAAATTTATTACATAAACAATATACATACTACTTTTCGAATACATGCGTTTTAATAAAAGTTTAAAAATAGCTACATTTTATTTTTTAGATCTATTTTTCTGTAGATTGATTTTTATATTATAAGGTACATAACAGATGATGTTCTTCTTATCGATTCTCATATTGGACTACTCAATTGGAAGTGTACATAAATCAAAGATATTTATTTGATTTTCATTTTTTTCTTTGGTAAATTAAAGATTAAACATAAAAAATATATATTCAATATGTGAAGTCATATATATAATCACCTATTTAACTTACTCTCAACAATGATATTATTCATATCCTCGTAAACGATTTACAATTTATTCAACCACACATGGTTCATATAATAATATTGTGTTATTATTAGATATATAGGAGTGGAATAGACTGTGAAAAGTTATGGGTAAAAAGTTAATATAAAAAACATCAATGATAGAAATAATTAATGTAACTAACAACATACATAATGCTATAACAAAAGAATGTAAAAGAGTGAAAAACATTTACAATAAGTAATAACTAATAGAATTCTAAAGTTATTAACTTATAAAGAAGTTTAATAGTAGAATGTCTTATTAATATTGCATGCATTTACTTAAAAATAAATAAAACTTCTAATTAATTTTATAGTTTATTTAAATGGTTGATTAGATTTTAATTTGAGAAAATTTTGCGATTAAGCAAATTTATACTACTTAATTACTCATCATAGCTATAGTTTGCTATAATTACCACTCACGACTAACATTATACATTAATTATTTGGACGGACTTCGAATTTGTATAATTAACTATATATGTATATGTATAATTTACCAAAATATACAAATACATATGTATAATATAAAATTACTTATTCAATATATATATATATATATATATATATATATATATATATATATATATATAAAATTCACCTCTCTTCCACTCTCCTCCCTTTCTCAATTCGCCTCTCCTCCCTTTCTCAATTCGCCTCTCCTCCCTTTCACAATCTCGCTCCCCTTTCTCCTCTCTCTCTCAATCTCGCTTGCTTTGATACAAATGCATATGTATATAATATACAATTATCTAACCAATAGACATACAGAAGTTACCTCTCTCCCACTCTCTCATCCCTCTCTCAATCTCGCTCGCCTCTCTCCTCTCTCTCCCAATCTCGCTTGCCATATGTACAAATACATATATAAATATACAATTATCTAACTAATATACATATACAATTCACCTCTCTCCCACTTTTGTCCTCGCTCTCTTGCCTGTCTCCTTTCTCCTCTCTCTTCCAGTCTCGCTCGCCTCTCTCCTCTCTCTCCCAATCTCGCTTGCCATATATACTATATAAATGTACAATTATCTAACCAATATACTATACAATTCACCTCTCTCCCACTTTTTTCCCTCTCTCTCGTCTCTCTCCTCCCTATAACATGTAGTTACAAATTGTAATTATCAAACTATAACTATGGAGAGTAATTAGGCTATTTTTAGTGGCTATATGTGAAATTTAGTATAGGGGCTAAATGGCAATTCAACATTGCATTCTAAAACTTCCCGTATATATGTTGCACATCTATTCCATTTTATTTAATATAAAATTTATTTTACCAAATTATCAATTTTTAAATGATTCACATATTTTCTTGTTTGCTATGACTTTTTTAAAAGTAAAGATGATGAAGAAATCAGAAAATTTAAAAACAACATATTTTGTAGTTGAATGATCTTATTAACTTGAGAATGCTTCCAAGACAATAATACTTTAATTGAAATATAAATACCTCCCCAAATATATATCTATATATAATAAAAAAATATCTATCTCAATAAAATTAGCAATTAAATAGTAATAATAAAAAATTAATACATCCTTCAACCCAACATCATTATAAATCATATCAATTTTTTTTTACTAAAATACATAAATATTTTTAAAAACAAGTAAATAAATAAAACAAACGAGAAGTGTTTGTAAATATAGTCATTATTATGTCGTGAGTATTAATAAAGCAACTCGTGCTAATTTCCTGACTCATGTGAATTTAATAATTTTTAAAAAAATATTCAAAAGTATAAATCTGCATCACATGAGAAATTGTTAAGAAAAACAAATGAATTTAGACTACTTCACGTTAGCTTCAAATATTGTAACACTACATACTAATGTATATATTAAGCAAAAAAAGAAAATAATAGTCGAAGTTTCGAAATATATCTTCTTAGGATAAAACCAATTTACCTCAATTTTATAGATTTTAAAAATTCAATAATTTAGAATTACCGTTAGACCTATAAAAAAGCAATAGCAAGTTGTGCAATTTTTTTTTTATTATTTTCTTTTATAGATTTTTTTTTTGTTTTAATGAAAATGAATAAAAATTTATATGAAGTGTAATATCCCATTACAATAATTACTCTTCATCCAAGACATTTAAGACAAATGTAAGATTCATATTAGATGTCATATCATTTAGAATTACATTAAAAAAAGAAGATCAGTAAAAAGGTAAAAGACGAAAATGGTTACTAGTACCTAATGATATTTATAGCAAAACAAGGTTTATTATTAGGCATTCTGAAATGCCAGAACTCAAGTAAATCCCCTTTTTTAAATTGGTTCTCTCTAACAAGATTGTTCCATCCTCTGTTAAACACAAGTCTCCCCAAACTCTTCCATCCAGTAAACTTCATGTCATGTAAATTGCCCTTTGGATCAATTACACTCACGTTAATACCTCTATCATCTTTGTTTAGTACCTTTTCTCTCTCCAACTTACTCATGTAGTAGAGTAATTTCGAGTAGCACTCAACTGGAATTAAGAACCTGCTCAAGTTCGCGTTGATATCCGAGTTCTCCAAGTATTTCCAGCCCACGTAAACCGGTCTACTCCCATGGAATGACTCAATAGCTAAACACATACTTCGTGGAGGCAAATCTGACCTATTTATAAATCTATCGCTACTGTTGTTCGCTGGAGACTGGAAAATACGTGTTCCGAATAACATTATGCTCTTTTCCTCCTTCTTCTCTGAGACTTTGATGTCATTGCCAAATAGTCTTATTGTAGTCATTGTTCAATTCATGTCTAAACTTTGCATGATGTTACTACTATTTATAAAGGAATGACTTAATTAGGATGGTCTTCTTCTTTCTATTTCAGTTTGGATTAGGAAACTTTATGTTATGTTCTTACTTTTTTTTTTTTTAACAATTCGGTGCGCGTTAGTTATAGTTAAACGGTACATACCATTAACGGACTAATAAAAGTTTCCTAATTCGCAACTCAGTAACAAACTTTTTTTTTTAAAAAAAATGCGCTTTCCGTAAATTTCCTAATTTGACACACAAAAAGGAAATTTACAGCAAGCACATATTTTAAAATGTTTATTACTTGCTGAAAAAGTACATCTGTAATAGTATTATATCTGAAACACATTATTTTTTTAATATATTCAATGAATAACGAACAAGTTTTATTGAACACTGACCTAAAGACGAAAAATAAATTGGAAGTATTGAGCTTTTGAATAATATTTTTTTTTTACTTAAATTAATTCTTCTAGGTTTTTTAAAAATGTAAATTGTTTATATAATTTCTAAAAATACGTTTTGAAATGCTGAGTTGTTTTTTTTCTTTTTATATGAAAAAATTGTTTAATTTGTTTGTCATATTTTGAATTGACATGATGTTAAAAGTTTAATATGATTTTTTATTTTTTTGAATCTTATAATGTTAAACTCAAAATGATAAGAAAAGTATATAAACAAATTAGACTTGAATCTAACTTGTCCAAAAAATAATTTCATACGAGCTATATTGAAGGCACATTTAGGGACAAAATCTCTAACTATAAGGCTTCAGGCTCAGAGTCGCAAGCAGCAGAACGATTAACAGGCTGAGATCCGCTTTATGGGCCTTCTTTTCTTGGGCCCAGTGGATGTTCCCTGATGAAATGAAAGCCTCTGTAGTTTGAATCCAAGCATTGGCGCGCGTATAAATAGCTAACACGTCTTCAATTTGAACTTCGCATAGCCATTTCAAATCTTAGCACTATGGGGAAGCGTATGAGGAGAACAAGACCGCTCTGTAGCTGTGTATCTCCTCGATTGAAATTTCTCACTCCTCACTCTATCTTCTCCTGGTTCTCTCTCTCTCTCTGCATATTTGTACTTTAATCCATTGCAAAAGTATTTGAAATTGGTGTTTGGTTCTTTCTGATTCAGTTAAATGCAAACTAGAAACGAATTGAATTTTGAGCTAATGTTCAGATGCTATGCTTGTTCTGATTCTATGTAATGCGGCAATTGTCAAATTCTATTTGATTGTCATTTCGCAGTTCAATGCTCACTGATGCATAAATTTGAGTGAGAAGCGATATCTATTTGAATATTAGTGAAAAATTGATTGCTGAAATTACTCCTATAGTCGAATCTATTCTTTCGCGGTATCATGCATATTTTATGGTATCTAGAAGATATAAGTCGTCCGGATTGAAAAAATTTGGCTGAGTAGATGCTTGGTATTGAATTTGAGCTAAAATTCTCAGCTGCTCTGCTTATTGCAACTTGTCTTGTACAGAAAATTGTTGAATACGTTTATTGGTTGAACAGTTCAAGCTCTTTGATCCACAAATTTGAGTTACAAATCAATTCAATTACTAATATTGGCTAAATATTCCTAACTGATACATTATGCCTTCGAATCAATATGAAGGCGATCCGAAACAGTGTTAAAAGAAGTGTTATTAGACTCTCTCTGGCACTGCATCTATAGTGTGTATTTAGAAACTAAGTAATCTGATTGCTGAAACTTCTGGATTCAAGGGCTTTCTGCTTTCTATAAGAGTTTGAATGCTCTATTTTCTAGAATTTAAATGTGGCACAAATTGCATTTGAGCTAAATTTTAGCTGCTCTGCTTATTACATGTGTGTTAGTAACAACTGTCAAATGCATTTACTGATTATGTTTTTGCAGTTCGATTCTCTCTGATCCACGAATTTGAGCAAAAAATGAATTCATCTTTGAATGTCAGCTAAGTAGATGATGTTAGTGAAATAATATTAAAATGCTCCTCACTAACAGATGATACTACATTTAAGAAGGCCACTGTACTGTATATTAGACACTTTGTGTTGCCGCACATTTTAATTTTATGTATCTATAGAAGAAAAGAAACAATCGTGGATACATTTGAAATCAACGCTTTCTGATTTCTCAATCAGTTCAATGCTCTATGTTCCATGGATTCAATAGTGAAGCACATTAATATCCTAGCTAAAATTCAGCTGCTCTGCATACTGAACTGCATGCTGTGCTGCAACTGTCAAATGCGTTTATTGGCTGAGGTTTTTCATTTGAATGCTCTTTGATCCACAAATTTTCTAGTACTCAATTCAAGTTCGAATATTATATGAGATCTGATAACTGATACTACACCATCTTTTCTATAAGAGGGTGAATAACTGTATTAAAAGTCCCATTCTCAACTCTTGTAAATGCAATTTTTAGCTTCAAATTCAAAGCTTTAATTAAATTGAGTTTACAAATATCCTGGTTGGTGATAAGCATAAGGTTGTGAATACAAGTTCAAGAGCATTGTTATTGGCTGTCCTTCTTTTGACGTCACCTTAGTGTATGTAGTACTGCGAATAAAAATCAAACAGTTAGCTATATCACAGAAGCCAATGCTTTGAACTCTAGAATATCAGCTTCTTTGTTCAACTGACATCATCTGCATGACCATGAACATAACTGAGATTATCTTTGTTGTGTATCTTATGGTAGTTATCAAGTTGGTTGTGAATGTTGAGACTGAATTTATGGCTATTTGAATACCAAGGTACGAAGAGGACCTGTGGACAGAGATTGCTAAGTTCTTGGATGGAAGATCTTTGGTGATGCTTGCATCAACTAGCAAATGGTTCCATCGTATCATTATGGAGGACATCATATGGAAACATGCCTGCTTGCGAGACCTCCAGGTTCCTGACCCTGGAAAAGTAGCATTCAAATGGATCAACTTATATGCAGCAGCCTTTAGTAAGCAGTTTCTCTTTTTACATGAGTTTGACAGTTTAAATCAGAAGTGACATTGAAAATATCTAGTTCTCTACTGTAACGAATAAATTTATTCGTTGCAGATGGATGTCATTCTTACAAGTTCCGCCAGCAGGATAAACATATTGGTATAACCCCTCCAGTTTTGCTTTATATGGTGAATTTTGGTATCAACACATTGCACTGAGGTGTTGACAATTTCTTTCAGTGGTTGCTGATACCTTTAAGTTGTTTGAACGAATGATCAGACTGGATGCGCATTGGAGCATTTTCCTTTGACTCGCAAAATGCACTCTTGACAGAGAATTTGATCCCTCCCTTGAAAGTCCTTAAGGAGAAGACAACAGAGAAGATGTTGGAGTCAAACGGGTGCTGTGTGGTCAGAAATGTCAAGAGTGGAATCTGGATTGCTGGTAAATTTCATGGCTGTGTAAAAGAATTTCTTATCAGCATTACTTTTTAATCCCTTTTGTTTATTGATCTTCCAGATTTGCAGCTTGTTCGTTGCCCAGTCTGTGACCTGAACACATGTGATGGTAAGCTGGTTGGGTTTTACATATTTTAGAAAGGAACAACAAGGTTACTGTACCTTCAGAAGCTTAATCAGTTAGGTTTTCTACTAATTGAACAGTGGACAGCAAATTGAACCGTTACCACTTTATGTTTGTGCAAATTAAACTATTCCATAATTACTCCTTTTAGGTTTAGTCCATACCCCAGATTGCTTTTCCTGCCTTTCCAAAGTTCTATAAAGATGACTAAAAATTTAATCATGTGTTATTCTATGCAGGAACAATGCAGGTATTAGATGCAAGACATATTGAACTGTTCCTAAGTGAAGGATACCAGGATGGAAGCTGGGATTATGAGTTGCTAGGTTCCCACAACGAGAAGAAGCAAGCTAATGGAGCCTCTGCTGGTATATTTGATATCAAACATCTCAAAGATCACTCAACTTCTGGTAACAGCTTAATTCACTGACATAGTTATAAGTTGCTGTTAGCTTTGCAATCCAGTCTAACACCATCATTTTCCAAAATCTAACTGCCAAAACATAGAAGCTTCATTCTGGCCCCTTATTGGGTTCTTCATGAATCAGTACAACAAAACACCAACTTTTCAGTACGTAGATGATTCGTAGTCACGTGAATTATTGGAAATACAACTCCTGTTACTTTAGATCCTGATAATGAACAAAGGACCATGACTTATTCTTGATATGAGATTTAACTTTTTGTTGCTGTGTATTTGTAATGCATGTTCAGCTGTCCTTGATCTCAAGTCATGGGTAGGAAAGCCCAATGATTGGCAACCGAAAGCTATGATAACCTCTTATGCAGTAGCAGTTAATACAAACTTGCAAGAGAATGAAGGTATATTAACCCTGGTTTCTTCAATTTTTGTGAGCGACAAACTGTACTTCATCTCTCACTCATTACTTACTGTTATATTGTGGTGGCAGGTCTTCACGTAAAATTCCATGTCATGAAGTCCGGGAAGAATGGTGAAATTGTTTCAATCAGAATGTCAGAGCAGCTCCAGTGATTTTGTCAAAAACTAGCAAATATAATCTTACAACAACTGCCAAGTATAATCTTACTGTCTACAAATCAGAGTTCATTTTTCAGCAAATATTAGATATAACTCCATAAATACAACAATCAGCCCCTTATCAACAAGTTTCAAACGGGTTGTACTCCGCCTAAAAAATGCATATTTTGTTAGTAGATGATTTTTGTTTGTAATATATTAGTTACTAGCCAAACTAGCTCAGGCAAAAATCATAACTTGCAGCCTGACTTTTCCTTGTGGCTTATGCTTTCTTGTCCTCTAATAGAAACCACTTAACAATAAATCAACTGATTTTTTTAGTATCCAATTGGTATGAATTTCCAATAGCAGTATTTAAAGGAAGTTGAGCTGTTAACATCCTCTTTATAAGTACATTGTATAAGTTGGCTTTTATAACATCTTTGTCGGGTCAAACTTATGACTTTTGAAACAGCTAATAAGTTAATGCATACTCTGTATGGTTTGAATCTTTGAGAATACTTGGCAAACCACTATTTCTGATGGGGGGTTTGTCCATATCCTAATTGACTTTCTGAAATACATGGACATTCTGAAGTTCATCTCTTTCTCTTTTCTGCTCTGCTTAACTGTCTACGCAAGGTACGATTGCCCAGATTCCACTTGTGGGAATAACCACTTTGACATACGATTTCCTTTTGGAATAGAAGGGAGCCAGAACCTTCAGAACTGCAGTTATCCAGGTTTCAGTCTTATATGCAGCAACCAAGGTAGATCAATTCTAAGTCTTCCAGGTGCAGGAGATTACTATGTACGTGACATAGATTACCAAACCCAAGAAATACAACTCTATGATCCATCTGATTGCCTCCCAAAACGTCTGATGAATTTCAGCACTTCTTTTTCCCCTCCTTCACTTTTCAAAGCTGTTGCCTATCGGAACTATACTTTCTTGACTTGTTCAACCAATTCAGTTTTGTCTCGGTCAAATGCCATCAGTTGTCTAAGCAATTCCACTACTTCAACTTTAGCTACTACTTCTCCAAGTATTGCCAGCCAAATGATAAGTTTGTATAACTGTAGCATAATCAACAATTCATCCGTTCCTGCTTCATGGGCATTCCAATACCAATCAGATTTTTTAACAGACCTTATTACCGATCTTGTGTTAACATGGGATGAACCAAACTGCCAAGAGTGTGAAGTAAACCACGGTGTTTGTGGGTTCAAGAATGCCATTATCAGAGAAATTCAATGCTTTGATAGTCCTGTAACAGGTAAATATTTTCTCAATTATAGTCTCCTTTCGTTTTTCTCTTTTGTATTTGCATTCGAGTAGCTAACAGTAGAATCAATTATACAATTATGCCTCAATGATTGGGGTTGACAATCTGTCCTTGTAACTTTAGATTTGGACAAACTAAATTTGGGAAATCATATAGGCGGATTTCAACAGTAGGTGAGAATAGTAAAAAATAATAATCAATATGGTTAAGGACTCATTGACTTTGATTTGTAGGAAGCTTTTGGAGTAAAGTTGGTTTTTAATGGATAATACGGAAATGACTATAATACTTATTTTGATGTTATCTTAATCTAGTATTACCTGTCTCACTGGGAATAAACATTTTTGTATTCGTCACAAATATTGGCAAGTGCATTTGGCAAATCTGAAAGGCCAATCTGCCCCTTATTTTAATACAGTAATCAAATGTCAATCCTTATGGAAAAGCTGACTTCTATTCCAGTAGTATTGTATTATTCAGCAACTAGCTGATTGATTGAGATCGTGCGAATGATATATGTCATTTTATCATTTCCGTATAGATTGTAACAATTCAATAAACTTATAGTTAATGAATTAGTGAAATAGTCCAATAACTTCATATATCACTCTAACACGGCTGAGACTGGTGTATGAGCAATTTAAGTTATATTAACAATAATAAATCTATAAGTTAAAATATGACTATGTTTTTGCCTCAAAATTACCATGCTTTTCACTTGCAGGTAACAAAAGGCCGGTTCAACAAGTTCTCAAATTTATTGCGATAACCTTGCTTATTCCAGGCATGACATGTTTAATTGGTGTATCATGTTACTTCTGTTTGGAGTGTCGCCGATCCAGCCACACCTCCGTTGCAATCCAACGTATCATCATCGGAACAACAGTAGCACCACAACCGGCTACTGGCCTCGATGACTCGACAATTGAGTCCTACACAAAAGTAGTCCTAGGAGAGAGTGGGAGAGTTCCAGGGCCAAATCATGGGAGTTGTCCAATATGCCTTGCAGAGTACCACCCAAAAGAGATAGTGAAGTCCATACCTGAATGTGAACATTGCTTTCACGCTGAATGCGTTGATGAATGGTTAAAGATTAATGGTTCTTGTCCTGTTTGCAGAAACAATCCTTCTCCTGCTCGATTAACTTAGCTTCTTCTTAGCGCGTAGTTTGTTTTACACATTGCATTTTGAAATTTGTAAATCCCAATGTGAAGTTGTACATATGCTTATTGGGCGTAAATTAACATCATTGTGGTTCAGTAGAAGCTTAGCTGGTTCACCTTAGTCAAATACTTTGGTCACATGCCCTGTAAAGATTGAAGTTTTCAGATAAATTTTGTGAAAAATTTTCATTTGCCTCTCATTCATGGGCATTTGATAGTATCTACTACTACCTTTCTTTAATTTTGTGGTGATCTTTGTGAAAAAGATATACCTTGGTTATATTTTGTCTCATGAACAAGACTTCTATGATTGTCTATGAAAACCTACGATAACCCCTTATGCAGTAGTAGTCAATAAATTTGCAACAAATGAAGTCAAGAAAGAATGATGAAACTGTTAGCATCAGAACGTCTGAGCAACTTGTTAGGCAGAAAGTTATCGAATATCTGTACTGTTGCAAGCATGCAAGTACCTGATGGAATAGTTGGAGGTGCCCCAAATGGACTCGCGTACCACCATTAGAAAAACAAAATCAGTAAATACCAGATGATACTCTATAAATGACACAGTTGCTCCACTTTCAACAAGTTGGAAATTGGCTACTCCACCATGTTATACCTAGAAAATTCAAATAGAATGTACCTGAACCATTCTTGTTTTGCATTCACATATATTTAAGCGTCTTACTACTACTTGTTATAACTGAGTAATCTGTATCCTTTCAGCTTTATTCAGGCTCATACATGTCCTTATGTTGTTTTCACTTTTTGTTAACGTTTACCTGCACCAACATGTCCTCTTATACACTCCATTCAACTCTATAATTCAAGTTGGATTATATATATATGTTGTTTGAACAGGCTCTCATTATAACATCTTTGGCATGAACACCAACTCAAACTTTTGACTTTTGAAACAACTGCAGTTATAAATAAATGGAACTCTCTATGCCCCTTTGCTATTTCTAATATAATCAACCTGTCCATACCGAAAGTAATTCTTGAAACATATGGACAATTTGCTAGTCCTCTTTGTCTCTTTTCTTCTCTTTTCATCTATCTATGCAAAAAATGAATGCCCTGAGGTTTCCATTTGTGGAGATAATCCTTTTCAAATACGATTTCCTTTTGGATTAGAAAGTCCACAAAATCAGCTCTGTACATATAATCCTGGTTTCAATCTAATATGCAACAACGAAGGCAAAGCAATTCTAAATCTTCCAGGTGCAGGGTATTTCCATGTACGCGATATCAACTACCTCACACAACGAATACAACTCTACGATCCATATAATTGCCTTCCGGAACGGCTTACTAAGTTTGAACTTCATTCTTCTTCTGTCTTCAAGCCAGTTTACTATCGAGACTATATTTTCTTAACTTGTTCGACAGATACAATCAACCCTTATTTGAATGTTATTGGTTGCATGAGTAATTCTACTATCTCAACTTTGGCTACTTCTTACTTGAGTTTTGCTTCATCAACAATATTGAGTTCGTATAACTGCAAAGTAACAAGCACTGCGTCTCTTCCTGTTTCGTGGACTCGTAATGAAGAGGGAGCTTTCTCAAGTAAACTCAACGATGATCTCGTGTTAACATGGCTTGAAACAGGTACATATCTTTTTATTCATACCATTATCTTAACATAAAGCCAACAAAATTTTCAATGACGATTAAGGGATAATACCATATCGACCTGGTCACTGATAGCCTGAGCTGTGACAAAAACACAAGTATATTGGTAAAATATGGTTTCTGCACTAAATATAATTAAACTTTAAGGTTGTGCAAAATGTATGATTTAATAGTTTCTTAGGGTATATACACATTTTACCAAAGTTAACGAGTGTAGGTGCAGTCTCATCATTCAACGTGGGTTGGATTCTGATGGCAATGAATACTTTCAAGATAGACAAGTACTGAAATAGAAAGAATAATGTCATTTATGCATTGATTTTGTGGAATGACAAGTATTAAGAAACATCTATTTTTAGTAAGGACGACATATAAATAGAAACAGAAGGAGTAATTGATTATATAATTAGAATTACCAGGTTATTAGATAAGAGTATTCAACGAAAGGTATTTATGTGGCTAAAGACTTGACTTTTATTGGGTCAAGATATTCTTAGGTAAGGAAAAAAGATAGCTTATGGATAATATAGAAATAATCTTGTACTAATTGTTACATATTGGTAGAATCACCTGTGAATAACCATTTGACCAAACTTATTAAAAAGTTCATAGTGAAATGTCAAGTTAGCCCTTGTTATATATTAATCCAATATCGTCAAACTTAATGGAAGAATAATTCAGAGATAAATTATATTTAAGTGTTTATGTATTAGTCGTGCATAAGATGATGTATATCATTCTATCACCTTAATGACATTAATAAATTCTGAATTAACGAAAGATTTGGAATATTGAGAATCTGATTAAAATTAATTTTAAGCTAAAAGGGTAAGGTTATGATCATTGACTGACACGTCAGTTTTTTTTGAAATGGCTTCAAACTTGTTCTTTTTTATTAAGCCTAGCATGGCGTATTAATTTAACAATATTAACATTATTTTGCCTTAACATTACTTTGATTAATTTTTGGTTGCAGATAGTTCAAAAGCTAAAAAAATTTTCCGAATAGTTGCACTATCGTTAGTGATACCTGCTCTCATGTGTTCATTGGTTTTGACATGTTACATCTGCTATAAGCAAAGCCAAGAGGCGGCTGCTCTCCTGAACACCGGGAGAGCAGCCGTGGTGCCACGACCGGAAATGATTATCGGTCTAGACGATTCGACGATCGAATCGTACGCAAAAGTTGTTCTAGGAGAAAGTAGGAGAATTCCAGGGCCAAATCATGGGATTTGTCCAATATGTTTGGCAGAGTATCATCCAAAAGAGACAGTAAGATGCATACCTGAATGTGAACATTGTTTTCATGCTGATTGCATTGATGAATGGTTAAAGATTAAGGGTATTTGTCCTGTTTGTAGAAGTAATCCTTCCCCTATTCATCTTAATTTTTCATAACACATTTCGAGTTTTGTCTGTATATTTATTTTATCTTTCAAATTATACTCTTGTTTCTTTTTGCTACATAGGCCGGTTTGGACATGATTTCAAATCAGGTAGATTTTTAAGTTGTAATAAGATATCAAAATAAATTAATAAGTTTAAGTTTTTTTTTTATAAGTATTTTCTCTATTTTAATTTGTTTTTTTTGGATCTTGACACTATATGTAGTTTAAGAAAATAAATAATTTGAATATTGTGATTTTAAACTAAAGATATTTAAAATATATCAAATATCCAGAGACTCTTTAATCTTGTAGACATGCCATATGAAAAGTTGAAGAAAAAAAATTCGAAAAAGAAAAAAATTCTTAGTAAACAAACTAAAAATGAAATTAAGAAAACAAATTATACTGAAATATATGGTAGTAAATATTTGTGATTATATGTTATCACAAATTTATAAATACACTTAATTTAACAAAGATTCAACCTTTTGATCTAAATATACCTCCGTTTACCTTTTTGTCTCACTTCTAACAAACATCTCTTTAATTTGTTTTTTTTAATATTTATCATGCGCGTCATTCTATTATTGAATAAATAAAATCCCACTTCTAATAATTTTTTACATAATTTATTCGATACCTCTTCAAGACCACAAAAAATATTTTAAAGAAGATCTAGTAATTGTTGTATTTACTTTGGTCTTTTAATTAAAATTTGTTTTAGATAATTAATGTATTATAAAAAATACAAGTAACGCCCGATTATACGCAGTGTATATCTATTCTTCCCTTTTTAAAAAACAAAAATAAATGATAACTTATTTACTAATAAATCTTTGTGATAACTAATATCAAAGAGAGTTCCACAAGAAATTGTAATTAAAGATTAACTCAATTTTTTTCTAAAAAAAGATAGATACTTGTAGCCCGTAGGCATAAGAAAGTAGAAAAAGAGAGAAAAATTTAAAATGTACTATAGACAAAATAATATTATTATGATTATGGCATTATTAATTTGTTTATGAAATATTAAGTATTTTTATTATGTTTATAATCTTGATTAAATTAATTATTGTAGCCATTTATTTTTCTTTATGTCATATATCTTTAATCCAAATAAAAATTCATGGAAAATAGAGAAAAATCAAATAGACGTGAGCCAAAACCAAAAACCAAAAATAATTAATAATAAAATGCTACAATAAATACTAAACTACTAGATTTTTTTTATAATATTAAGATAAATTGATGTCTTGAAAAGGTATATTTTTTGACTTGGATAAAGTATGGGTAAAATTTTAGTTGAAATGAGTTTAATTTATTTATTTATTCGATAAAATATTGACACATAAAAAATATTTTAATAAATAAATAAATAATAAGAAGGTTGTTAGTTTCAAGGGTATGACTTATGAGTGAGCCAACTTATTAGTTCAATGGGTTTTTTTGTCCTTTTCTCAAATTAACAATAGTAATAACCCTTTTCTGAATCAACAATTTTTAAACTTATGGGTCTTTCGTAGTTGAATGTTGAAAAATCACTCTAACACCTCCTTCATGCTCAGATCTAATTGGAATGTGACTGGGAGTCTAAACTGCAATGAATTTATTCAAATATCATGTAAAGATAGTCTAACTTAATTCCAAAAGGTAGGGGATAATTTTCCAAATTCATTGAAGAAAATCACCGTACATTCCCAACCAACGTGTAACTCTAACACAAAAAAAAAACAGTTAGCCCAACGAATACATCAACAAGACTATTATGAGTGACAACCAAAAGCTATGATAACCCCTTATCTGAGCAGCTGTGTTATGCTATTCACTTTTTTCTTTTGACTCTAGCGTTTACCTGCGGCAAAATGCAATCCTCTTTCAATCTTATTCAACTTTATAATATAAAATGGATTTTAATATTTGTTGTTTGAACAGGCTCACTATATAGACATCTTTGGCATGATCACCACTCAAGCTTTTGACTTCTGAAACAACTAATTAATAAATGTAACTCGCTATGTCTTTGCTATTTATAAATTCTAATCAAGCAAGTATAATATAAGTGGTGTATCCGTGTTGATATTCATTCTTGAAAAATATGGACAATATCCTCCTACTCTTCTTTGTCTTTTTTCTTCTCTTTTCATCTGTCTATGCAAAATATGATTGCCCCCTGGATTCCATTTGTGGAAACAATCGTTTCGATATACGATTTCCTTTTGGATTACAGAGGCCACAAAATCTTCAACATTGTACATATCCTGGTTTCAATCTCAAATGCAACAATCAAGGCAGAGGAATTCTAAATCTTCCAGGTGCAGGGGATTTCTATGTACGCGATATCAACTACCTCACACAAGAAATTCAACTCTACGATCCATCTAATTGCCTTCCGAAAAGGCTTACTGATTTTCAAATGCCTTCTCTTTCTGTCTTCAAGTCTGTTTCCTATCGGAACTACACTTTCTTGACTTGTTCGACAGGTTTAGTCAGGTCTCGGTTCAGTGTTATTGATTGTATGAGCAATTCTACGATCTCCACTTTGGCTACTTCTTCAACGAGCCTTGCAAACCAAATGAAAAGGTTGTATAATTGCAGTGTTAAAAGCACCGTGTCTATTCCTGTTTCGTGGACGCCTGAAAATGATGCAGTTTTTTCAACTGACCTTAATAATGATCTTGTGTTAACCTGGGATGAACCAAATTGCAAGGAATGTGAATTAAAACGAAATTATTGTGGATTTAAAAATGCAACTACTGGAAAAATTCGGTGCTTTGATGCTTCTGGATCAGGTAAATATTTCTCCATTTACAATCCCTTCTCATTTATACTTCAATATTTGTCCAATGTTATCAATCAACCATGTTCAACTTTGCAATAAACATTAAGTCTGTTGTTCTTCAACTTGAGCTAAACCAGCCTGAAGACAATATTGACATATTGTGTTAATGTCTATTTTGAGCCAAGTCTGCACAATTTTGATCCTACACTAATAAAAAACATCCATTCTATACCTTACCTATTCAAAGGATTCATCATAATTACCTATTAATAAGTAATGGTCAAGTTTGCCCTTCTTATATGTAGTGATCCAATTCAAACTTATATAATTAAGACATTTACGTATTATTCCACTAACTTTAAAACGGTTGAGGTCGTGCATAAGATAACTCTTATCACCTAAAAAGTTTGTTATTTTATTTAACAACTTGAAGTATTTAGATATGATGAATGATTTGGAATATTTAGATTTGATGAATGAAAACATTCTTTTGCCTTAACGTTTAATATGATTATTTACTTGCAGGCAATGCAGAGAATATAAAAATATTCCGAATTATTGCACTAGCCTTAGTGATACCAGCCATCTTATGTTCAATGTGTGTGGCATTTTACATCTGTTATGACCAAAGGCGAGAGATCCGGCAATCGTTGTTTGATCTCCCGGCCACTAATGGTGGTGGAGCAGCCGTTGTACCACATGAAGCAGAAATCACTACAGGCCTGGATGATTCAACTATCGAGTCGTACACAAAAGTTGTTCTAGGAGAAAGTCGAAGAGTTCCAGGGAAAAATCATTTGACTTGCTCAATATGTCTAGCAGATTACCATCCAAAAGAGACAGTCAGATGCATACCTGAATGTGAACATTGCTTTCATGCTGAATGCATTGATGAATGGTTAAAGATTAATGGGACTTGTCCTGTTTGTAGAAATAATCCTTCCCCTGTACATGTTAATTTTGTATAGTACATTATTTCCCCACATCTCTATTCTTGTCTGTACATCCACTTATCTTTCAAATTATACATTTTTTTTTGTTACTGATAGAAAAATAGGAAAATACAATCGAAAGAAGAAATGATTTGAGGCGTTGAAAAATCAAAAGATATTGCTAGTATACATATTAGAGAAAATACAAGCAATTTCCTTCATGTTACAACAATTTTTTCTTAAAAAGATGATTTTTCAGAATATTTGTATTCTTTCACTAATAAATGTGTTTGTTCAACTTAAAACTTCTATATATTACAAACTATATGTAGTAGTCCTTCACTAATGTTTTTCATAATATAGTACATTCCAAGAGTATCATTTTGTGGGGAGTTGAAGAATTATACACTTCAAATAAATTTTCATCTTAAGTTCTTCAAAATTATACAAAACATAAAAATTTATTATTGACTTTCAACCACTAAACCAAACACCTCAAAATCAGATTTCTCGAATAATAGTAAATAAATAGTACTTCGGAATCTTATTATTCTTAAGCATAATGCACAATTAAAACATTAATAACCAACAAGGTTTGTGGTGAAGTGATAAGTACTCTTTCATTCTTAACCAGATGTCTCGAATTTAAATATATCACTATATCATCTCTTTATTTGTGGACATTAACTTGATAAAGTAATATTTTTATCATGATCTCAAGTATAGATATTATTCTCCCCAAATAAAGAAATTCATATATATATACAGATTACGTTTGATGTGCTTAATATTTTTCAATTGATGCCAGTATGCCGGAAGAAGAGTAGTATCCGTTTTTTTGTTTTTCTTAGTCTTGATAGTTTAATAATTCAAGAAGTAGTGGTCTTCTTGTCTGTTTGAGATCAATTCTAAGACACGTTTGACACTATCTGAAAAAAAAACATTTCTTCAAGAGGATTTTAATAGGGTTTTTGTTAAACGTAATGTAAATAATGACCAATAGTTTACAGAATAGTCATATTCTTTCAAAAATAAATGTTATCTTTAAATTAACGAACACAATAATACAAACAATCTATCAGTTACTTAGATTGTTTTCGACATTCCATTTTTGAAATAAAATATTGCATATCTCAATTCAAACATGTATTTGTTCATTGAATGTTTATTAAGATCATTCTTGTAAGATACTTATTATTCGTGCTTGAAAATGAAGATGATGAGTAGAAGAAGAAGAAAGGGTTTTATGAAACCTAAGTTCTGCTCTACACGATTCTTGTGAAATATAAAGGAAATTAAACCACGTGGAATGATCACAGACATAGGCAGGATATTAAGCTTGGGGTTCCTTCAAAAAAAATAATCGATTCCTCTCCTTTTTTGGCAATACTTTAACTTTAATTGTAATTTTTCACGTGACATATTTAAGATCATAAAATTAAAGGACATTTTAGTATATTTGATATAACTTTAATTTTAGAACCACAACATTAAAAAAATCTCTTCTTTTCTTAAACTCCATTTCAAGTTAAAGTAAGCTCCGTTCCAAGTTAAAGTAGGTTATCCTTTTTTTTAAACGGAGAGAATATAAGTTTTTTTTTTAATAGATAATTAGTTGAGGCGTGAAGACAGAGTCTAAATTTGTTATTCTTGACACAATAGAAATTAGACAAGTGTACATTCTATTTCCTTTTTCTATTTTTATTTCTGCAGAAATACTTGTTGTGTATAGCGAAAATTAGTCAGAAAATTCCTCAATGTTATATTGTTTATTTTTCTATATTGTATCAAAGTAGTACAATTTATTTTAGTTCTTCTACTTCTTCGATCCTGAATTCTTCAATGTAGCCAAAGTGTATGTATAACAAATATATTTAATCTCTTTTGAGTTCTTTGTGTGTTTATCTCTTTATATTTTAAAATTCACTTGGTAAAAATTGTGTCTCCTGTCGCTGTACTTTGTGTATTTTCTATTATTATTTTTAAACTCTAGCGCGGACCTGCGGCACGCAACACGTCCTCTTTCACTCTATTCAACTTTACAATATAAGTTGGATTTTATATTTGTTGATTGAATAATTCTCTGGCATGATCACCAACTCGAACTTTTGACTTTTGAAACAATAAATAAATAAATGGAATTTTCTATGCCCCTTAGCTATTCTAAATTCTATTCTAATCTAATATAAACGGTCTATCTATATCGAGATTTCATTCTTGAAACATATGGACAATTTGCTAGTTTTCTTCGTCTCTTTTCTGTTTTTTTCATCTGTATATGGAGACCGTAATTGCCCCCTGGATTCCATTTGTGGAAATAATCGTTTTGACATACGATTTCCTTTTGGATTAGAAGAGCCTTGTACATATAATCCTAGTTTCAATATTAAATGCAATAATCAAGGCAGAGCAATTTTAAGTCTTCCTGGTGCAGGGGATTTCTATGTACGCGATATCAACTACCTCATGCAAGAAATTCAACTCTACGATCAATTTGATTGTCTTCCTAAACGGCTTACTAATTTTCAACTTCCTTCTTCTTCTGTCCTCAAGCCAGTTTACTATCGAAACTACACTTTCTTGATTTGTTCGACAGATTTGGTCATGTCTTTCAATGTCATTAGTTGTATGAGTAATTCCACTATCTCTACTTTGGCTACTTCTTCAACGAACCTTGCTAGCCAAATGGTATCTTTGTATAATTGTAAAGTAGATAACACTTTATCTATTCCTGTCTCGTGGACTCCTTTGTATGAGGCAGTTTTTTCAAGTGACCTTAATAATGATCTTGTTTTAACATGGGATGAACCGAATTGCCAAGAATGCGAAGTAGAAGGACAACTTTGTGGGTTCAAGAATGTAACTAGTGGAGAAATTCAATGCTTTGATGTTGCTGGGACAGGTAAATATCCTTTTAATTCATACACTAGTATATTTTCCCCATTTACCAACCCTAATAAGTTGAATTTGTTGTTCTGTAATAAATATTGTTTGCTTTGAATCAAGTCCTCACGATTTTACCTTTTATGTTTTGGTAGGATACATTAGAGTTAAAAACTTATCCTCAATCTAATATAACAATACTGTTTCTTCATTCAAACTTTGAATTGATTAATTAATACATTGAGAAAGTAATTAGTTTAGCTGAGAGTATTCAACCAAAGTTATTTATGTGGCTAAGGACAATTTGACTTTTATAGTAAGTTCATTTTGAAATGTCAACTTGTCTCTTCTTATATAGTAATCTAATGTCAAACTTTATGAAGGAATAATTAGGACATTTCTATTTAAATGCACCAATACTTTAAAATAGGCTGAGATCGTGCCTTTAAAAGAAATTAATAAATTCAGAATGAACATTTTTTTGTCTTAACGTAACCATAATTAATTTTTACTCACAGGCAATACAAAAGGTATACAAATATTCCGAATAGTTGCACTAGCCTTAGTGATACCAGCCATCACATGTTCATTGGGTGTGACATGTTACATTTGCTATGAGCAAAGCCGAGACAGCCGCCGCTCCGCTGCTCTCCAGAACACTACTGCCGGTGGAGCAGCCGTAGTACCACAACCGGAAACGTCAATTGGGCTGGACGATTCGACGATCGAATCGTACACAAAAGTTGTTCTAGGTGAAAGTAGGAGAATTCCAGGGCCAAATCATGGAATTTGTCCAATATGTTTGGCTGAGTATCATCCAAAAGAGACAGTGAGATGCATACCTGAATGTGAACATGGTTTTCATGCTGAATGCATTGATGAATGGTTAAAGATTAATGGGACTTGTCCTGTTTGTAGAAATAATCCTTCTCCTGTTCATGTTAACTTTTCATAACACATTTTTTTCCCTCACATGTGATATGAGAGTTTTGTCTGTATATGATATCTATTGGAACTAATATTGTATCTCTCAATCCAAACTTGTATATAAGGTTTGATAACATCATTTTCGTAAGAGTTCGCGTGTGAAAAGGTTTAGCTAGTTCTCCTTAGATGTTGCCCTAACGTAGTACTTACTGTTTAAAATTGAAGTATTTCAAAGAATTTTTATCAAAGTCTTCTATTTACTTCTTGAAAGTTCAATATTTGGGTTTTTGTTGGAAATAAAGAGATGTTATCTCACATGAGAGGGAAGAGAAAATTTTATTGGATTTATACATAGACACTTCCATAAATAGAGACAAAGTTCTCGTGGATGGTATCCTATTAAAAGTAATTTATAAGTCCAAAATTAAAAGTCATAACTAGGTGGTATCCTATTTTTAATTTATTCTTAAAACTTTTTTGACCTAAAATGGGTGCTTGAAAGCACTTAATAACTTTTTTAAACATCTCCATAACTAAGAAACTACTAAAACGTCAAAAACACCTAAAAATAAGTTGATCAAAATTGACACAAGGCAAAAATGGTGGTACGATAATCTAGGAATTCTACATTTTCTTTTGAAATTATTATACCTTACGTCTCATATCAAATAATGAAAGAAATTTTTTGTTAAAATTGGTAGATAATAAAATATACTTTGATGAATCAGTTATGGTTATATTTGATCTCTCTCTCTCGAATGACTTTTAAATTTCAATTTATCCTCGAAGGGATAAGGAAATACTACTATACTCAATATTAGAAAAATAACTTTACCATGACGCGCTTTAAATACAGGGTCCGTATACACTCTTTGTAACATAAAATTATTTATATGTAATGTAATCTTTTTAAAAATTGACTATATTAAACGCTTAGTACCATCTACTAATAGATGCTTTGGTTCTATAGCTAGTTTGAAGGATTTGTCTAAAGACAAGGGTTTGATTCTTGCTAATAAATAGTATATTTTTTATTTTATAATTTCCTCTCTTACTCTCAATATTTTATTTTATTTTTGGTAATCCTAAAGAATAGATCTATTATAGTTTTACTCTCAATATAAAACTCATGTGTTTTTCTCTTTTTATTTTCGTGGTATACTTTAACTTATAATTTGGGATAATGCTCAAGTACCCCCTCAACCTATGTCCAAAATTTCAGAGACACACTTATATTATACTAAGGTCCTATTACCCCCTGAACTTATTTTATTAATAACTTTTTACCCCTTTTTAGCTTAAGTGGCACTATTTTGTGGGCCCAACGATGATTGACTTTTTTTTAAACTAGTACCACGTAGGCTAAAAAGGGTAGAAAATTACATATAAAATAAGTTCAGGAGGGTAATAGGACCTTAGTATAGTATAAGTGTGTCTCTGAAATTGGGGTACTTGGATATTTTCCCTTATAATTTTAGTATTTGTTATGATTTATGCATTTCTTGTGAGATGATAAAATTAAAAAGTCTTTTGACTTAAATGTACTACTTAATTTGTTTTAATTTATGAGGTAACCTTAGATTTAAGAGTTAAACAATAATTTTGATTGCAAAATCAGTAAGACGCTTTGAAATTTTTAAAAATAAAATATATACACTTGAAAACTCTAAAAAATATTATAAGTCAGACATTGATAGTTTAAGATACAAAATGATATAAAAGAACTCATTTTTTTAAATAAAATATTGAATTTTGAAATTTAAAAAGTATTATAAATATTGAGATGAAGAGAATTACGAATCAATAGAAATCATGCATGAATTTGCTTTATAAAACACTATCGTCAACCCTCAACAGTAACTCCTAGTTCTTTGGTTGACATTCTAACCTAGAAGTTTGCAATTTTAGTGTATATATATATTTGTTAAAATTATAATTTATTCTATACTAGTTTTTAGAACGCGTTATACGTTTATTTTGAACTATTTAATCTAAATTTTATACTATAACTAATAAATATGGTTAAAAGTCATAAATATTTTTTTGATTTAAGCAAATGAGTATCTAAAAAGTAAGAAAAGAGTGGATAAAAAATACCTGAAACAAATACTAATTTATGAGATGATGAACTAATTATAAATGCATGTATAGACATTCACCGTATCTGTCAAATATTTTAAATTATTCATTTAAAACACAGATAATTTGACATAAAATAAAATATCTAATATATCATAAACAATTTTTAATTTTTGTTTGAAAATAAGAAATATAATATTATACATCTTCTATGCCAATAATTATATAAAGTCTAAATAATTAACATATATATAATTATTTAGACACAAACCTCTTTATATAAATAGTGAACATATTTAACTTAAAAGGAAAAATGAGAGAAGACATTATAAAAGAACATTTAAAACTAATATGAAAATCACTTACAAATGGTCACCGCTATAATTACTTTACATAAAATAGTACAAACATTTATTATTTTGTTATAATTCGTATAACGTGATAAAAAAAATATGATTTCCTTTCAAACATTCTTTACAATTAATCATAATGTCCTCGATCCGAATACAAAAAAATATTGTTGTCTTTAACAATTCTACAAAGATTGATGACATCTTTTCTTGAGCAGTTAATGACTATGATCACAAAGGAAATCAAAAAAGAAGAAAGATATGATATACCAAAAATGAGAAAATGAATCTTAATTTATAAGAGAAAATTGACATATTAAAATACTTTAGTAAGAAGATCAGATGAGATTTGTAAGTTAATTTTCATTTCTAAGTGACTTTAAATAGAAAAATTTTAGGTGAAGGGAGATGAAAGGAAAAAATAAAAGAGGCCTATCAGTTTCCTAATTAATTATGTAACCTTTAGTCTTCACCTTTAGTTCATTGAACAAATTATTAAAAGAGTCTTTTTATCTTCTTGATAATGATTGTTTCTGACAATTTAATATTAATTCGCCATCAACATAAATAAATTGTAATCGAAAGAATTTGAAAAGTTTGATATTGTTTAATGTGTAATTCTCCCTTATAATAAGTAAAATTTACTATTTAATATTCAATTAACAATTTATTAGACGGTTTATAGTATTTATATCTGATATAGGGACAAAATGTAATCTAATTTTTATCTAATATTCCTTCCACTTTTATTATTATTATTATATGATATGATGGAGATTAAATTAAATATACGTATTTATAGATAATAAATATTACTATTAAATTAGATATTTTAATTAGGAATTAATCTAAGGAAGTACAAAAGTTATTAATATTTTTTATTAAAATGAGACAATTTAGTATTTAAATTAACTAATTAAATATTAAATAATTAATCAAATTTCAGTTTAATACAAGATCAAAATGGTAATTTAACTTTTCACTTTAAAGCTTTTCACTTATTATAATATATTAATTAATAATTAATTATTATATGATGATATGATGATTCTATTTGGCATAAAAAAAGTAATATTATCCATTTGAATTTATGTTATTTGATTTGGATTCTGAGAGTTTAATTAACTATTTTTTTTTTTGTTTGTAAAATTTGATATTGCACTTTTAACTATTTTGAAATAAAATTTACAGATTCACAAATAGTATTATACGTCACATAAAAAAAAAATTTATACGTCACAAGAATATTTTAAAAATTCATAATAAAAAATAACATATTTTAATTCTCCAAATAGTAAATAGCTAGGTCGTTACAGAGATTGAAACAAAGAGATTAGTAGATAAAATCTTAAATAACTTGGACATGTATTGTGGTCTTAAATTAAAATATAATAAAATATGCATTAATTAATAATTTTTGTGATTTTAAACCGTGAAAAATTATAATTAGAAAATTATTAAAAAGGGAGAATCTATTTTTTAAAAAACAGATTAAAAGAATAAGTTAAACAAAATTAAACTAAGATCAGCATATATTAAATGATTACCTTTTCTTTTTTAATACGTCAAAGTTTGGTGATGAAGCTTATTCCTCAAGTTCAACTGATGAAACTTTCTTGCCCGTGTAACTGACGACGACAAATATTAGTAGAATTTAGTTTTTTATTTCTCAAGTTGTGATTTTAGAAGTTTAAAGTGATATTTTAGATATGCAATTTATTTTTCAAATAAATTTTTGTATGTGAAAGTCTCAAAAAACGTAAAATGAGGGTTGAGCCAATTTTTGAAAATTTAAAAGTATTTGAAAATTAAAATTTTAAAATTAAATCAAATATGATCATCATCAAACGGATATTTTTAAACCAATTTGAACCAAAATTTATGATCAAATAATAATAATTAAGAACGTAACCTTTTCATCAATCGAAATAGCCGATTTCTTACATTAAACAATCGAGTTTTATTGAAGGGCTTTTGGAGATGCGCACCGGTCCATCGGAATTCTTTTTTAAAAAAATTAGTCAAAATTACCAATTGTCCATTTTAACCTTCCGTACCTTTGATTAGTATTTATACGGTTACCAACTATGATTATTGAAATAAATTATTTATTTGATTTATATTATACTCCCTCCTGAGGTATTCTATACTTTTTTTAAAAAAAGTAAATTAAAATATAAATTAAACATAATTTTTCATTTTTATCCTTATTAAGTATTTCAAATTTATTGAAGTCACCAAATTGAATATCCAAATGAAGGGTAAAATTGAAAGAATATTTTAAAAATAATTTTGAATATTAAACAATTAAGCTAATTTAAAAAATAAAAAATATCTCAAAAGCTTAATTAATATGGAATGGTGGAGAAATACAGAGAAATCCTTATTATGATTTCGAATATTAGATAACACACTTTCTTAAATTAATTGTAATCTACGAACAAACTAATTTTCCATTATGAGTTAGTTAAAATTTCTTTGTTCTTTCTAAAAATTCTTTGTTTCGATACCTATTTTTCATCATACTAATTTACTGTAGATAAATTGTTCCATCAAATTATAAAAAAAAATGGAAAGAGGCAGACGAGTTAGTTCTCTATATTGTCAAACCTTAAAAGGCTTAAGGGTGCATTTGGTATAAACGAAAAATATTTTCATTTCCTATTTACTTTGGGTGTTTGGTGGTAAGTATTTCAACAAAGAAAATCGTATCCCAAGAATATTAATTCGTAATTTAGGAAAACATTATGGGTATGTTGTTTGGAAATATTAGTTTTGTCTGTTTGGATTAATTTATTTTTAGGTGTTTTTAATTTTTAAATGGTTTTTAAGTTTTAGAAATGTCTGGAAAGGTTATTAAGTGTTTTTGAGCATCAACTTTTAGGTCAAAAAGTTTAAAATAAGTCTAAAGTCAAAATTATGGTATCACCTTATTTAGGACTTTTAATTTTTGACTTTTTTTATAAGTTCATCCAAATAAATTTCCGAACTGTCACTTATGAAACTTATTTTTCCTGCTCTTTAGAAAAAGAAATTTAGAATATTTTTATTTCATGCTACACGCCCTAAATAAAAATGTATCAGGGATATAATCGACTTCTCCATTACGAATCATACGAGAATAAAAAAGATTCAATTGGATCATATTAATTATAATAACGTCACACATCATTAACAAAAAAAAATTATCAACTAGTACATAATAATACGTATACAGAGTTGACTTTAAAATAATACATTTCATGATAAATTAACAAAATTCATTAGAATCTAATATATCTATATAAGCAGCCTGCATTTAGTTGATTCCAGATTCCAGAATCATGGCTAATCGTCACTTGATCGTTTTCGTCCTAATCGTTACCATATGTTTTGTTATCCCATCCACTTTTTTAGTAATCTGTATAGCTTTTCGCTTCCGCGTCGCAGGCATTCACCGCCAATATCCAGAAAATGGCGGTGAATCAGCCGCGGAAGCAGGGGCTAGCCGTGTGGTTGGTCTTGATGAGTCTACGATTCAATCGTACAGAAAAATTGTTGTCGATAAAAACGAATCGAGTTGCCCGATATGCCTGGCGGAGTACAATGCTGGAGAGATAGCAAAGTGTATGCCGGGGTGTCAACATTGCTTCCATATTGATTGTGTTGATAAGTGGTTGAAGTTGAATACTACTTGTCCTCTTTGTAGAAAGTGTCTCCTTTTCTCTAAATTGCCTAATTTGTAGCTTCATGTCTATAAAGATTTCCTTTTGCTCCAATATCATGTCCACCTATTGTCTTTTATTTTTTCAGGTGGAAGGAATCGAACTCTCACGAACAAATTGGAAGTTCATATAACTAACCAACTGAGTTGCTATGATTTCTCATGTCCATATATTGTCATAATTTGACTTGTAAACAAATTTGGATTGGATCGGTGAAATTTGAAAGCTTTTTTATCCTCTCACAAATTGATTATAATCTCTTTGCTTCGAAAAGAATGATCTTCTTTCCTTTTTAGTCTGTTTTAAAAAAATATAACCTCTTTCTTTTTTTGGTAACATTTTAATTTCAGCTTTTCACGTGACATATTTAAGGGCACTAGATCAAAGAGCAATTTTGTACATTTAATCTAACTTTAATTTAGGACCACAAAATTCAAAAGTGTTCTTTATATTCTTTAACTTCTTGCAAAGTTAAACCAGGTCATTCTTTTTTAAACGGATTCTAAACATAGGAGTAAGTAACGTTAATATAAAGTTTTTTGACCAAGTTGTGACGAGTGACACTCTTGATTCTACCATTGATCATAGACAATAGAGGCTACCAGAATTAGTGTAGTTATTGACTTTTTCTCCAATGTAGTTGTGATCCATATAAAGTATCTTTTGCTTTTGATTCCTTATTCCACCCATCCCCCCTTCTTTCTCTTGGTTTCGTCCAATGATTAATAATTTTATTATTTTAGATAATAATAATAATAATAATAATAATAATAATAATAATAGTTAAAAACAACACTATCAAAAGCAAGTCTTAGTGATTTACGGTTCTTGAGACTTCCAACCATTCATATTAGTTTTCGTTTCTTCAACTCTAATAAAATGTTCATATTTGTTCTCAAGGTGTAATAGTGTTGTGGAAAAATCAAATAAGCCTACAAGATATATTAATTACCATTAACTTGCTCTATATGAAAAGTGGTCATGTTGTTTCTCAACCGTCTTGACTTAAGATTTAATCATTTCTATTTGTGGTGCAGGGAAGGAAAATGATATAACGTTTAACTAATTAATGATAATAGTTTAATTGAATACATTTTAGAGGTTTTTAGCTTCTTTGTAATTAATGCATTAAAATTCCTAGAGATATTAAAATTCATGATAATTAATTAATGCTGATACTTTATTGATGTGCATATTTATTACCTCTAAAACTATTTTTATTATTGTGTCATACTGAAATTAAGTCATGCTTTTAAACAATAAATTGCCGAAATTTTTGTCCTCTACTACAAAATGATGATATGCTTGCTGCTTGCATTTTTATTGTTAATTTTTGTTAGCTTGATACTTAATTTATAGCTAAAGAGGCAAAGCATTTTAATTATGCTTTGCACGTATGTTCTTCTTTCCCCACTTTCTCAGTCCATAAAAGGGCTATATGGACGCAATTATTATATGAAAAAGAAAAGTATATCTTATTTGAAGATACAAAGCTTACAAATCGTAATATAAAAAAGAAATGAACTCTTTATGAGTACAAGATTTTGTTGTTTTCCAGTCTATATAGTTTGTGTTAGTATTTTAGGGCTTGACAAAGAGAGGAAAGTTAATTACATAATTTATCACAAAAATGTAAAATAAACTTTGTCCAAGTCTTTGTGTCTTGTTTTGCTTGAGAAGACCAAACATATATAAATATGACAATAAAAGAGAAATAAAACTATTTTAAATTAATTGATCATTAGTGTCTGGTGAACTACCTTAAAAAAAATTCTCCAAACAAAGAAGTCAAAATCTCAAGAGATGAGACCTATGGGCATTATGAGTCTCTTCTTCTTTCTTTTTTCTCATCACTGTTTCGTTAGTAATACTCAAAATTTCTCTTCAAACATTTCCATTTGTGGGAATCTCACCATACAATACCCTTTCAAATTACAATCTCAAAATACTCAACAGAATCCAAACTATAATAACTTTTCCCTAACATGTACTGATCAAGGCAATACACTACTCACTATTCCATTTTCAGGAGATTTTCTTGTACAAGAAATCAACTATTCCACTAAAGAGATAAAACTCCAAAATCCTTCTAATTTTCTTCCAAGAAAGCTTCTACATTTAAACCTTTTTTCTTCTCCGTTTTCGACTTCTTTGCAGAATTACACCTTCTCCTTGTTATCTCATTTTCATGGAGATGTTCGACTAACATGGGATGTTCATCTTGAAAGTAACAAGACAAGCACAGAAGCCAGCAATTCCAATGCTCCAACTCCAAAAACAGGTGAATTTTGTGGATTCTTTCTATGTCTAATCACTAATGATTGTTTATTGAATGAATTAGTAAAAATACTGTAGCAACACAACTTGCTAATCGATGCTTACAAGTCATTTGTATAATTTTAGAGGTATATCTGATCCACTTTCATAACGAGGATATATATAAAGTTGAGGGTATATTATATACCCTTTTTCCTTGTATAAATTTACCTTACCTTGGAAAATGATCAGATTTTGATATGCTGGCCTTGTGTAGCTATCACACCTACGCATTTGCGATATTACGTATACGAAATGTGAATTAGACGGGAAGTCCTAAGGTTATAAAAGTCTAACGTTTGTGCTTCGCTCTTTTATTTTTTATTTTCCACACACACATAGAAATAATTTTATATACTAGTAGTTGATATTGAATTATATTATATAGCTAATTATTGATTTTACGACATATATGATAAGTTGCTTGAATTGACAGGTGGGACTGCACGTAAAGAAATAATCTTGATATTTTTCGTGGGTGTGTCCCTCATTTTACCATCGGTCCTCTGTTTAATCTGTGTTTCATGCCGAGCTTTTCTCGAACTAAACCACCGCCGCCAAGTGGCTACTGCCACAGCCTCTATGGCGAGCTTAGCACCAATGCCAATGATTGTGATAGAAGGGCTTGATGAATCCACGATTCAGTCCTATCCCAAAGTGGTTCTTGGTGAAAGCAGGCGAATTTCGGGAATAAAAGTTATGATTTGCGCAATATGCTTGGGTGAGTACAGTGCAGGAGAAACACTCAGATATATACCTGAATGTGAACATTGCTTCCATGTTGAATGTGTTGATAAGTGGTTGAAGATGAATAGCAGTTGCCCTATTTGCAGAAATTCTCTTCATTCATGATCTTCTCCAGGTGCAAGCCTGTTTAGAATTATTGTATAAATCTTAACATGATTGTGTATATAACTAAAGACGATCAAAAGGGAACTGTAAGTTCTCAAGATTCTTGGTTTGGTTCATTTCAAAAACCATTACTTGTTGGTTTCCATTTAGAAAAGATTCACCAAGCAAATCATGGTGATACAACATCAAATTCAGAAATATCAGAACCAAATAAACATCAGTTTATTACTCTAAAAAGTGAATTGCTGCTGTTTGTCCCTGTAAGTAGTCGAATTTATTGAAACATACATACGCATATCTACATCGTAAGTCAAATAGAGAATAAGCTGACACTTGAAACATGAGGCTACAATTACAACTAGCTACAATAGCAAAACAAACGAGCACAGAATTACTTCTTAGAAAGCAACTTCTTTGGAAGCATCTCCAAAGGTGTGGTTGAGACTTGAGAGCAAGAAAAGCCTGGCTGCACGTTCTCGTAGAGTGCCTCCACATTTCAACCCACGCACTTGAAGTTCTGACTTTAACCTCTCCATGGCGATGACCAAAGGGCTAACACAATCCAATCAAAGTACATATAGTTAGGAATTATTGGTGACAAAGACTACTGCATTTACCAATGAACAGTAACACAAGCTTACTGGAGACGAGGAAAACGTAGAGACCAGACAATAATATCAATGCCAAAATCATAGTATATAGTCCAAATTTAAAGGCATAGCGCATATATCAAAGTATTCATGTCAAACTTCCATACTGTTATCTGAGTCAAAGAGTACAAACTTAGCAGTGGCAGATGAACCAAGCAATGCCTGAAGGCCACAGTTCCAACAAGAACGGAAGACCAATAAACAGAAGAGACACATCCTTTTCCCCCCTAAAACACGATTTTAACTCGCAGTAAGGACACATAGGTACCATTTGATTGTGTGGAAAGGAAAACCAAGTACCAGAATGTTTTTTTAATTTTTTTTTTTCTGAGAATTGGTAAATCAAGTACCAGAAAGATAATTATCTACACTTTTTGATGCATTTAGTAAAAAAATAAAGATGATGGAAATGCACTTAAAAACTTCACCCAGAAAAGATTTTCTCCAAAGTCCTGCACAACTGTAAGGGGAAAAAAATGGTTTTGTTCTCATTTATACTCCAATTTCTTTCAAAAAACGAATACTAGAGAAAGACTTCCCTGCTTTCTATTTTTTTTTATTTTACTGCAATTCTCTCAAGAATCATTTTCCAGCAACTTTGCTAACATCCCATTGAAGCCATAAAGGAGTTTTTACCAGTCACTGAAGCAATATCACTGAATCAACACTAAAAACACAAATTAGAAAAGCGGCAGTGCCATCCATCAGCATTCAGCTATGCAAAGTAACAGAAGAAAATAACAAATTAAACTTGGACATTAGCTAAACAATGATTTAAAAAAAAGTATGGGCCATGACAGATGAGGTGTTTCTTAACCCTCTCAAGGATTTCAATGTCAGCAATTTATGTTTATCTGGAGTGCAGCCAGCAGGATATAGAAGTGTTGGGACACTCTTACTTAGCCACTAGGGGCACACACACCCAAAAGTTATTTATAAACTGTTATTGATCTCACAGAGAAGGCCATGTAAGCAAGTAACAATCACAGAATTGCAGTCATTGGCAACTTTTGAGCTATCCAGAACAGAAAGGGGCACGGCGCAGGGGGTAGAGTGGGGTTGGGGGTTATAACAAGTGGTAGAATTAGCCAAACAAAAAAGTTGAAGCACTGTAATTTTCAATTTGAATAACAACCAGTTGAGAACAAATGGTTACAGCAAGCAGAGAAAGGCTTTAATGATACGTATTGAACAACACATATATACTAAGCAATGGAAATCAACTATACTAATATCAGAGATTATGCATACCTCCAGTTCCACTGCTGAATTAAATTCTTGGAAATCAAAGGTTTTTCCAAGTCTGAATCCTTTGAGACTGCATCTTTCCGAGGAACTGGTATAGGTCTTAAATTATTACCGGGTTCAGCATTATTGCTTTCTTTCGCACCGGAGCTCACTTCCACAACAATTGGCTCAGAAGTACCAGAAGCTTCTTTTTATGTTTGAGTACTTTCAATTGCAGATGCAATATCAGTGCCAACAGTAGAGGCAACAACACTCTGCCCAATATTTTCTGGACTGTCTGAAACGAGTGAAGACAGACTTTCACCTTCATGGTGAAATGCATTTACATTGACATCTTTACCAGTTCACACTCTACTTCCTCCGCAATGATCTACCACCTTTCTGCCCAATACCAGTCCCTTCAAGACCTGATGATAGAAAAGATCGAGAATCTGGCCTCCACTTTAGCTCTTTGAGAACAGAAAACAAAGTTGCTAGTTCTGGCGTTATTTCACTATCCTTTATATTGTTACATGAGACCACCTTAAGCCTTTCAAGCTCTTTCCATGACTGAACTACCGAATCTAATCCTTCTGTCGTGAGCAATGAGCATCCTTCCAAAGAGAGATTTCTCAAGCTCCTAGAAAAGAAAAAAGTTCCCATTAATCTTGGAAGTGTCACCACATTTATTATGTTATCATTCTACTTATAGAGTTCATGGACGAGCTAGATGCAATCTTCTGTTTAAAAAATAAGTGCTCTGCATCAAATTAGCCATAAAAGACGAATTTGACTCGGTTTTTTTTTCTTTAGAGAAAAGCAGTCAAATTATTAAATATTAGATACTGTGGAAAGAAATTTTAGGTGTCAAACTAATTTTGGAACACTTTGTGCATTTAATGATGATAATTTATCTACCTCTCTGACCCCACCAAGGGTCTACTGAAAGCAACCTCTCAACCTTCTCAAGGTAGGGTTAAGGTATGCGTACACTCTACCCTCCCTGATCCCATTTGTGATATTACATTGGGTTTGTTGTTGTTGTAATTTATCTCATCACTACATTGTTAGTTACCTCCTTTTTCTCTGAGATTTATAACACAGAATTTTAATAAGCAAAGGACTATAGAAGTCTCTTCTGATGTTTGGGTACAAATCCTTTTAAAGAAATGCACCTATTTTCTATGTTTGCAAACAGATAATTTCTCGCCAAAAAAGTTGGTCATTCAATTGTTAAAGATGAAAATTTCCTTATCCATTCAGCAAGTTTTCCATTTCTACATGCACTCATTAACAATATAATACATCAATTTTAAATTTATCAGATTCTGTTTAAGTTAGAAATGCATATACAATACATAAATAGAAATAGATGTGTTCGTACCGACAAACACTTGCAGCAGCAAATATAGTGTTGTCTAATCCCCAACAATCCCCAAAGACAAGCTCTCGGACAGTCCCACAAACCAGAAACAATGCTCTCACACCTTGCTTATCCCGTAATTGACACTGATGTAAATGTAGCTCATCGAGAGTAGAACAAGAACCCAAGTGCTCATCAGGACCAGGACATGAATCTAGAACCTTACAATGCTGAAGCTTCAAAGTTTTCAAGTTGCTGCAAAATGACAAAGCAGACAACCACCCACCATCCATCCTATGATCACAAAGTATCAATTCCTCAAGCATCTGACAGCACTGCCCAATTGCTTTGATCCCATCATAACTTCCCTCACATCCTACCAGCTCAAGCTTCAGTAAACGCGGACACCCTTGAGCTAAAATTGTCAACCCTATATCTGAAACCATGGAATTATATAATCCATCAATACAACCAACCAATTTCAGTATCTGCAAATTCCTACTGCCAAATAATCCCTTCAATGCAAAGTCATCAGAGAAATGCAATTCCAACTCCTGCAAAGTTTCACACTTTTCACCCAAATAACCGAGCCCCTCTACACTCGCATTGATCAATACTATTCTTCTTAAATTAGCACAACCCTCAACTAAAACCTTAACCCCTCCATCAACCACCTCTTGTCCCAAAAACCCCTCTTTCCCAACAAACCCTCCATGAATAGAGTTTGAATCCAAATGCACCGAAACGAGCCTATGACTCATCACAATTCCCGAATTCCTCCGGGATTTCACACATGCTCGAACTAGGTCAATGTCAATTAAACCCGGAAATCTATAACTAAGCCTTCCAGATTCCAAAAATTCCCAATCTAACAGCTTAATAGACCTAACCAACTTCCCACTAAGCTTACACCAACGCTTACAAACCAATGAATAAGAAATATGTTGGTGTTCCGGAAGCTTCGAAAGCACATTCAACAGCAACTTATCAGAAAGTACGGCGGTATAATCTGGTCCAGAACTAAAACGGGTCGGCTCCCCGTCATCTTGGGTTAGGGATTGGATATCAGATTCGGGCTCAGACGGTGGAGTAGTGGAATTAGAAACCGATTGAGCTCGCATTTGAAGCACCAATTGCTTCAACGCCTGAGCATCCTTGTTATTCCATATATCCGACAAGCTCGACCGCCGTTTCTTCTTCGCCGCCGCCGCCGCCGATTTCACCTTAGGGTTAGGGTTTTCTTCAGGTGACGTAGGCATTTCTCGCACAGTCAATGTTGAGAATCGAGTCCGGGTTAAAGTTACAAAGACGGGAATCTTTACCTCGAGTTCCGCACCACCTCTCCAACATCGCCAAGCTATAGCTCAATTTTCTCTCTCTACAACTGCACCATTTTTAGGGTTTTTGAAATCACGAATCTATATATACAGAAAGCTGTATGTATAGTTCCGCAGAAAAATTCTTTAGAAGTTGAAGAAAGGAATACAGTTCTCAACAGATGAGATTTGTGGGGCGCACAATCCTTCTATTTGTGTGTATAGTTTTTTTGTTTTTTTGCACCGAGGTGGTTTAACCAATGCGATAGTGCCACGTACAGAGATAGCTGGGCTTAGGAAACCGTGGCTTTGTTTAATTCGTTGGTGGCGGAGGGAGCACAAGTTGTTGTTCTTTATGTACAACACATGGACATTGATTGCTTTTATAGAAAATATAAATTAGGAAAATAATTTTGGAATCTTTTGCTGAGGGACCCCTTTGTTTTCCTATTATTAGCAAAGTTCTTACGCTAAAGAAGAATTGAGGCCCATGAACTAAAAAGTGGAATGATCATTGCTAATCATATGGATAATCCATCAAAAGATACTAATTATGCAGTTTTGCTCCAAATCAAAGTTTGCATTTAAACCTTCTACTTTTCTTCCAAGAAAGCTTCTACATTTAAACCTTTTTTCTTCTCCGTTCGCAGAATTATACATCTCAATTTCATGGAATTGGACAAGCAGAGAAACCAGCAATTACAATGTTCCAACTCCAAATTAGTTCAAAACATTTTCTCTAATTTATGTTTCTATTTTAATTTTCACTTCTAAACGGACCGATACACTATGAGGAAAAAGCTCTAAATTGGAAAAACATGTCTGTGTGTAACGAAAGGTAATCAAACACCATTACTTGCTAGATTCCGTTTAGAAAAGATGCACCAAGCAAGTCATAGTGATACAACAACAAATTCAGAAATATCGGAACCAAATGAACATTAGTCACCTTTTATTACTCTAAAAAAGTGAATTACTACTGTTCGTCCTTGGAAGTTGTTGAAATATATTGAAAAATGCACACGCATATTTACATAGCAAGTAAAACAGAGAATAAGCTGAACATGAGGTTACAATTACAACCAGCTACAATAGCAAAACAGACGAGCACAAAATTACTTCTTAGCAAGCAACTTCTTTGGAAGCATTTCCAAAGGTGTGGTTTTGAGTAAGAAAAGCCTGGCTGCACGTTCTTGCAGGGTGCCTCCACACTTCAACCCACGCACTTGAAGTTCTGACTTTAACTTCTCCATGCCGAGTACCTAACACAACCAAATCAAAAATACATTTAGCTAGGAACTATTGGTAACAAACACTACTGCATTCACCAATGAACAGTAACACAAGCTTACGGGTGATGAGGAAAACATAGAGACCACACAACAATCAATGCAAAAATCATAGTATAAAGTCCCAGTTAAAATAGCATATATATAAAAAAAATTATTCATGTCATACTTCCATACTGTTATCAGAGTCGAAGAGTACAAACTTAGCAGTGGCAGATGAACCAAGCAATGCCCGAATGCCACAGTTCCAACAAGAACGGAAGACCAACAAACAGAAGACACACATCCTTTCCCCCCTAAAACCGATTTTAACTCGCAGTAAGGACACATAGGTACCATTTGATTGTGGGGAAATGGAAAACCAAGTACCAGAAAGTAAATTATTCACACTTTTTGATGCATTTAGTAAAAAATAAAGTTGTTGGACCCAGGAAAGATTTCCTCCGAAGTGCTGCAAATGTAAGGAAAAAGAAATGGTCTTGTTCTCATTTAAACTCCAATTCTTTTCAAACAAAGAATACTAGAGAATGACTTCCCTGCCTTTTTTTATTTTTATTTTCTTCAGAATCATTTTCCAGCAACTTTGTTAACATCCCATTGAAGCCAAAAAGAGGTTTTATACTAGTAATTGAAGCGATATCACTGAATCGACATTAAAACACAAATTAGAAAAGCAGCAATGTCATTCGTTATGCAAGAACAGAAGAAAAATAACAATTAAACTCAGACATCAGCTAAGATGATTAAAAAAGTATGGACCATGACAGATGAGGTGTTTATTAACCCTCTTAAGGGTTTCACTGTAAACAGGTTACGTTTACCTGCAGTGCAGCCTGCAGGCTATAGAAGTGTTGGGACTCTCCTACTTAGCCACTAGCCCACACACACACACACACCAAAATAATTATTTATTAACTGCTATTGATCTCACAGGGAAGGCCATGTAAACAAGTAACAATCTTGAGCCATCCACAACTGAAAGGGACACACGCGGGGGGGGGGGGGGGGGGGGGGTAAATTAGCCAAAGTGAAAAGGTGAAGCATTGTAATCTTAATTTTGATTAACAACCAGTTGAAAACAAATTGCTACAGCAAGCAGAGGAAGCCTTTAATGATACATATTGAACAACACAGATGTAGTAAGCAATGGAGATCAACTATACTATATGAGAGATGATGCATACCTCCAGTTCCGCTGCTGAACTAAACTGCTCAAAATTCAAAGGTTTTTCTAACTCTGAATCCTTTGAGACTGCATCTTCCTGAGGTTCTGATATAGGGCTTAGATTATTACTGGGTTTTGCAGCATTGTTTTCTTTCACACCAGAGCTCCCCTCCACAACAATTGGCTCAGAAGCACCAGAAGCTTCTTTTTCTGTTTGAATACTTTCAATCACAGATGCAATATCAGTGCCAACACTAGAGGCAACAGCACTCTGCCCAGTATTTTCTGGACTGTCTGGAGTGAGTGAGGACAGACTTTCACTTTCATGGTGAACTGCATTTACATTGACATCTTTACCAGGTTCAAGATTCTTCAGAAGAAGAGTATCCTTTTCTTCCTCGGAGCCACTCTCAGATGCACCACCATCAACTTTTCTGCCAGTTACAGAATCCAAACTTCCCTCTGCTTCTCCATTGGAGTCTGAATTGCCCCCATTATCTATGACGATGGATTTCTCTTTCTCTTCCTCTTCTTCATCACAGTCATCATCATCTAGATCTTCGCTATCACTATCACCCATTATCCTCTTACCCTTCCTACCAAAAATCACAAACTGTAAGTTATAATTCCTTTTTTATAAGATAATAAGTTCATTGAACAAATGAGAAAATTCAACATATAGATTATGTATAAAAACTGTGCAAAAAGTGGAGAATCATCAAAGAAAAAACATAATTTCTACTACGTGCATTCAATCATTTAATCATTGAAAAGTTTACAAGGTTTTCTATCAGGCAGGTAACAAGTACAGTTATGAGTGTTTAATATAATTTACAAGGCTTAGGCAGATTTGAACCTGAGAAACACATCATGGCTCTCCTACCATTTCGTTGACCATTAGGTCTCCCCCTTTGGATTGTTTAATATATATAATAAAAACAAAACAGTGACACTCCACCACTTTATTTTAACAGCAAATTGATTAGGTAAATAGTGGTCGAGCGAAATTGGAGATGGAAAAGTCAAAAACCCATTCTAATTAAGGATTCTTATGAACCAACTACAGGAGAACCAACATCCTGTATCAAGTAAGTAAATAAATAATTATATAAAAAGAGAGAATCAGGAAAACCAGGTAGGGAGAACTTCCCCTCCTTTCTGTCCAACTACTTGGTCTTAAGAATGCTGATAATGGATCATTTCCCATAACCGTCCCTGATTGCTCAACATCTGAGCAGACTGTTCCACTCGTTAACCAAGGTTCTATGGTATACAAGAGTATCGCCTATCAAAACTACTTGATTTTGGAAAATACAAAGGATGGAGTCAAAGCACTCACATTAAACTGAAATCTATTTCACTCCCTAAAAAGAACAGAGATGACATTCAATTGTTCCACCCAAGATATGGCTTCCAAAAAGGAACTCAATTCAACATAAAACCACAGCAGACCTAAACCACAAACTAGTCGAGTCACCCACAAATCCTCAATGATCATTCCTCATTCCAATACTAATCCTCAATAGTCATTCCTCATTCCAATACTAATCCTCAATAGTCATTCCTCATTACAATACTAAAAATTGAGGCTTTTCAAAACAAATTAGTTGTTCTTAAACAAAAAGGGGCAAAAAGAATGCAAGAAATACAAAGGTGACAGTTCTTACCATATCTTGAGCTTTTTGGACTCTGATTCATTGAGCTCAACCCCCTTCCTTTTAGATGACACGAATCCCTTGAGGGACTCCCTAACTGACCTATCCACTTCCTCCATACACTTAGCAGAATCCTCCCTATACTTCTGCACATACTTATCCGTGTTACTTCCAGTAGCACCCTTTTTACCTTTCTTCGCAGCTTCCTTTGCATTCTTCTTAAGAAACTCATCCGCCATCTTCTCCAATTTCCTCTCTTCTGCTTCTGCTCTCCACTCTTCCAGCTTCTTTTCCGCATTCACATGCCTCAACCTTCTACCACTCATATCCCTACACGCGTCAAAATTATTCGTCTTCTTCTGCCCTGCCTTGGTTGCCGCTCCTCTCAGCAATGAACCAAAGCCTCCTTTACCACCCCTTAGCCGAAGCAACAAATTCACCACAACCGGAAAATTTCTCTTCTCCGGAGACAAATTTGTGAGATTTTCCGGCGACCCGATATTTCGGTTGTCGGGCAACCCGTTTGTGAGATATAGGGCTTGGTGGTCCTGAAGAGGGTAGAACGAATTGAAAGGCAGTAAAAGCTGAAGGTGAGAAGGAATTGAAGTTAGGCTCTGTATTTTGTGCTTTAGGGTTAGGGTGGAGATGGATGGGGTAGTGAAATTTAAGGCTTTGTGCTTTCCGTCGAGGAATTTGACGAGAACTTGATGAATCACTAATCCTTCAGTCATCTCCATTGTCGGTTGATTGATGCCGGTCGATTGATTTTGGTAGTGTCGCGCTTCTTCGCCGGCGATTGAGATTTGGGGGAAAGAGAAATCTAAATTTGGTTCGTTTTTGAAGTATATATAAAGAGAGCTCGAATTCTAATCGATTTAGGAAAAGAAAAAAAGGAGTACCTTAAACCCGGTCAATTCTTGTTTCTTGAACCGGGCCGGTTCTTGCCAAAAGTTAAATTCATCGGATTGGGTTGATGACTGAAAGTAGCGTTTTTGTACCATTCAAGAATTACCTATATAGAAATTATAAAAAAAATTATATTTTGTCTATTATATTTTTATTGATTAATTAATTAATTTTAGAAATATATTTATTTTGATTAACTTTAAAAATCTATAACTAATTAATTTTATGTGAGTAATTCATTTATTAATTAACTACTTTATTTGTTTATTTATAGTACTTATTCTATAGAATATG